CCTAGTAAGTGGTTTGTTTTGTTTTTGTTGTTGCTGTTATTGTTGTTTTTCCCCCCAAGTTAAATAAATTGTCCCCGTGGTTTTATGCACCCCGCATAAATCTGCGAAATTTGATAATGTTTAAAGATAATTTCTTATTGTTCCCCTTTATCATTCTTTGTTAAAATTAACAGAATCGCACAATTTCCCATTTTTGGGCTCAGTTTGCATAATTTCAGAGAAAAAAAAATCATAAAACCGCGGGGACAGAATTAAATAAAGTACCGTGTCACACGGCACGAGACCAAGGAGAAGGCCGCGTGGAACCCCTCTTTTTGTCCACGATAGGGAAAGTGGAAAGTATTATTTTGTTTGTGTTCTGTGCTTTGATGCAGGGGGAGAAAGATAGTGATGGTATGATGGTTTGTACTAGCATCGCGTCATTTAAGATCAAGAATCTCATAAGATGAGATCAAGTTTGAGACACAGTGAGTCGCCTATTTAATATCCCAAAAATATAGCAGCAGTCTGAATAGTAACATTGGTAGGTGGTTGGCAGGTGCTCTGGTGTGGTTTGCTCCTTCTTTCCTATCAAACATCTATCGTTTTCATCTCCCCTCCTTCTTTTTTATGTTTGTTACTCCCTTGCAACACCTCTAATCTTCTGGCGCTCATATGACCTTATGCAGTTGCGAGCGCCATAAACCCTCTGCTAAAAAAGGATCAAGAATCTCATAATGTTATGAGATCAAGTTTGAAACGCAGTGAGTGGCCTTTCTAAATATCCAAAAAAATTATAGCAGTCTAAATAGTAATATTGGTACAAATATGTATATTATTATTAAGCTGACCCTCAACATCTCCATACTACCACAATCCCTACCCCCCCCCCCCCTTTCCTTTGTCATCTCTTCGCGTAACACACAGGGTAAATTCTACGTCTTCACATTCCCTCTGTTGTTTCTGTCTTGTCTTACTTTTTTCCGAGCAGCGAGTCAAGAGATGGATATACCCATTCACACACAAACTAGCACATGCATAAACACAAAAATAGTTTTACCCACACAAACAGGCATACATTCACACTCAAAAAGACACATTCATGAACACAAACATACACGCACAATCCC